CTGAGGATCATTGATCTCGTTACATTACACGATCGCTGCTTTTCCGCAAATGAGGTTCGTTGCTTCATAGGTCACAATAAGAAGATAAGTAAACCCCTACATAGTCTCACGTAATAGCGACTGCATAGTCGCGTCTGACGAGCTTGAGTTTCACATAAAGGTGTCCAACAAAATCTGGATACTACTATTGAGATCCCAATCCTCAGATGGACAATATGATTCTCAAATACTGAGCTGTACTCTACATCTGCATGTCGGTCACCGGAAGATCCGAAGGCTTGCGATAATTGAGCCAAATAGACCCAAATATTTCAGATTCATGACTCTTTATTCAAAGATAGAATCCAGATGCGTAATGTTGGTGATATACCATAGTTTGGTTTCACTAGTAGTTTCAGGCCTTGGATCCTGAACAATCATGTCACCTAATTCACATGGAAACAATCCCGACATACTGAACTCTGCACGACAGATACAGAAACTCCTGCAAACAAGTGCAGAGCACACTCCAAACTCGTATTTTTCATCACAATGCTCTGCTCTTACGACTGAAGAATTCGGAGTAGGCTTGAATGAAGTGCGACGGTGGTACGGGAGATCACACAGTTGTGTTGGAAATTCTTGCCAGATCCGACCTTGTACCCATTTCCGGATCGCCACACCAAGTGCGATTGAATCACGTTGGTTCATGTCTGGTGTTCTGACTCAACCTGCACGTATTTATTTGTCGTTGATAATGCTCGAGGCCATGATAAATCACATTTGATCGTATCAAATGGCATGTATAGTTGCATGCCTTGAACATTCGAGAGTAGCAAAAGTTCCAATCATTCATTCCTGGCTCGATCTTCCTACGCCGTCCAACCTCCACCGAGCTAAAGCAGTAACGACAGGTCGATAGATTTTGGCTCGATGGTTTAGTTTTTTATTTAAGTCATCAACAATCATTTATTTCTTTTTTTTTGCACATTATTAAATCAAAATGATAAGTACAAGCCGACAACACGGATTAGTGTATACATGTAAATAAAGCGAGACTGAGACATGTTCAATGATCTAGGTTCATTCGAAATGATAAAATCGGTAAAATTCAATTCACAAGTTTTAGAATCTTTTGTTTTAAATCAACTTGAAATGTGGTATACATTTTGAATTTTAAAGACTTCCAATCTGTGAAAAAATAAGTAATTATAGAATTTGAGTAATCATCAAGATACAATTTATAATGTTAGTCTATAAATCATGAAGTTTGGGAAAAAATATATTGCTAATTAATTGAATGATTATGTAGAATCGTAAATCGAATTTCATACAGAATTGTTTTACAATAGAATTTAAATTTGGCATCAAATAATTATCGAAATTTATTTTGATTCATTTTATCTTTCCACCATATCACATCTGATTGTTGTTTGAAAAAATTCAAGCAAAATTTCAAACCACGAGATCAAAGTAGTGAAAACCCAAGGCATCGAATCAAGCCATATATTTCATGTATCGAAAGGAGTGCGACTTTTGAACCGGCACTGTGAAGACATCCAAGCGCAATCTTACATTCGTGGCTCCTCGCATGGCTTGATGTCTACAATGATGTGATGCACATCGTTCGTGAGGTTCTGGAGCAGATTCAACGAAATCCGATTCTTTCGAATCTAAAGCCTTGCTTGCTGCAGATCCTCGAAGACATTTCTCATTTGACAGATGATTTGGTACTCCACCCATATCGCTCATTAGAGGCATAATTGCTTTCACTCTCATTTGCTGTGGAGTTGTATGTTCCCAAGTAATTCTGACACAAATGCTTCCATGGAAATAGCTGTCGTAACGGGATAATCACCTTCTAGTTAGCCAATCTATCCTTCTACCTCCGCATGTTCGACCTGCTCCTAGAATGCGTCAAAGTTATCGAACGCTCCAAGATATTGATCGAGTTCGAGAGCTTCTAGTCGACCAGGAAGCTCAAAGTCATGGCCAGGGGATCGCATGGAAGAGCCGTGAACATTGATGATTCCATAGAATAGCACGGACAGCAAAGCGTGTGAATTAAGCAATCCTTGAGAAATCGAAGAACGTGCAAATGCTGAGTGAATCGGTTAAAAAGGAAGGAAGGCATCAAGAGACAATATAAGACGTGAAATTAATTTAGTTCTATCTCTGTTACTTTCGTTTCTGTTTGCTTTTTGAAAATGGGACTGTTCGATGACGCTTGATCGACTACGAAGCAACTGTATCGAGCTAATCTAAACTTTTCAAAGCACGCAACAGATCCAATTGTGAGTTGATCTCATGACGAGATTGATAGAAACTGGGTCACTCACATCTGGACTCCGGAGCGCTAGCTCACAGACTTGGCAGCGTCTCTTCTTCTCCGATTGGATTTTGACGACTGACAATACAAGAACTAACCTAATCATGCACGAACAGCAGAATCTCATCGATCACGGCCAAACCGAGAAAACCGCAAGCTCTACAGAATTCCCAGAAATCCTCCACGGAGACGGTCAGTTATGAAATATATCCACTGAGCGAAATCGACAAGAATCCAATGATAATCTTGATGTGAACGGAAGTGAGAGTTTCGAACTCGCGCAGCAGTTAATATGAGCTGGTACGCACACGCACATGAAGAGTTTATGAGACAGGAACATCCCAATGGTAGGTACATTCTCACGGTTTATCTACTGAACAGAAAGAAAACAAGAATTACAATGTCATTACAATGAGAAAGATGACTGATGTGAAGACAACTAAAGTGGAGAATATGTGATATTTATAAACCTATTCTAAAAAATATCCCAAAAAATCATATTCTGCGTTAGAAATGAGAATCTGGCGGAAAAAACTCACCAGTTTCTAACTGGCAGGATATATGAATAAACTCTAGACACACCAACATTCTGTTGAGATCGGGCTGGCAAGCTTTAGTGGAGGAACTTGTGTTTCGTCTCCGCATATGGATCTGCCGATATAGTCTTCAATCCCGTGAGTTTCATTTTTCTTTATTGATATTAGGCTGAATAGGGTTGACATTCAAGAATGGTAAGTGAATATTTCTCACAAATGTCACCTAACACTAATTACACAATTTTTGTAAAGGGTTTATTCCCATACTTTTTGCTATGCTACTTGGTACCTCCTCTGTTCCAGAATGATATCTCTAATGGGTCAAACTTTTGTTGTAGAATTTGTTTATTAAGTGTCATTATGGACATTCAATAACTGCACATACACATCGTGGGTGGGAAACAATGTTAAATGGCAAAAGATCAAGTCCTGTACCCAAAGAGTCAAAAGACTGAAAACCACAAACAAGAGAAAATACCGTAAAAGTCCAACCCTAGTTAGTGCTTTTGGCATTTTAACTAATAATGTCCTTAATATAACAAATTCAATCAAAATGAACTAATTATAATAAAAAATAGAAATTCTTCACATCTATATTATAATGAAATCTTATATCTTTATACTTACACAAGTAATAAATATATACTCAAATAGCCATTACATACAAATTCGAAATTTGTAAAACAATCTTCTAGAAGATTGGGGTTTGAACTGTCTCTACCCTACCTTTCGTGGGATGAGTTATTCTGCAATCGAATTTATTGTAGTTCATCCTTGTGAAAATGTTCCAACATGATCCAATCGCCTTGTAAATTAAAGATTAGATCGGCAATCCTTTGCTCTCAAGAGTTCTGGCCGAGGTATTAGGATTGCAATTAGTATATCGTATGCTTTATAGTTTATCCACAGTAGTAGGTAATATTTGTTTATACAAGTTGATATCAATATTAAGAGGTTTATTCTTGTTAAATAAGAAACTCTGTTTTCCATGAATTTCACCATACCGGCTTACTTTGACATTTATAAAAAGAAATAATTGCTTTCAATTTTGAGCTGTATTTAGCAGTATGATGCCAAAATACTAGTGATGGTATTAAACATAGTGAGTGTAGGTGATCATAGATGTATGCTACCAATTTTTTTGTCATATCAGATCGTTGGTTGTGTGAGTAAGAATTCTCACTGTATCATATTAATAAGTGAAAAGTGAACGACAGTCGCAACTTTTTTTAAAAAATAATTTGTAATCACTTGAAATCTGTACATTATTGTTATTTCTTCGCATTGTACATAATGAGATAAAGTCTTTCAGGAGTATATAAAATTTGAATAACTTGTGGAACTAATAACTGTATTGTATGTGATGAATAACCTAAAAGACATAATATAGTGACAAATATTTGATATGAATATGAATCGTATGTATGCGACATGAACTTTTTGTATACTAAATTAGAGAAATTTACAAAATGCATAAACCTGAAATAAATTTCAATATATCCACAATTTTAACCCTTATAATAATCTCAAGCTATCAATTTTCAATTCTATTGATTTTCAAAACATCATCAATTAAATTTTGAAACTTTATTAAAATTCAACTATAATTTTGATGAAATACTATTACTCTTGCAATTGTGATGAAGACTTTTGATCCAAAATTTGTGAATTGCATTTTAAAAATCAATTTTCAACAGTAACAATGTAAAACTCATCCACAGGATTGAACAGAAGAATTTACCATCGAGAATTGATCACATTTTATTGGATACCATGTGCATTGCTGGGTAGTATCCAACGGAGACCATATATACCAAGAAAGTAACACATGACACATTGACCGGTACTCCAGGCGTCCAAAAAGTACTTTCAGAGTTGGAATTTCCATCCAATGAGGAGGACACCAGCATGTACTGAATATGAACCCTAATTCAGCAGAGCAGAACAGAGTAGACCTGCATCAACATAATAGAGACATACGGAATGGTACGCAGTTATGAGTGGGCCAAGACGCAGGCCAGTACGTGAATCATGGTTTGTGTGGGGCCCAGCCACCGGTCACGTCCATGAGTCGGCGTCAAGACAAGCGAAGAGCAGGAAAGTGGAGGGAGAGGACGAGGGGACTGTTGGACCGGTGAGCCGAGTGGGGGTGCGTGGGGACTATGTGAGCCCGGCCTGGTCGAAGGAAGGAGTCGGGAGGGGGATGGGGGATGGGGGGGACTGAAGAGGACGACGGCAGCAGGGGGAGCTCGTGGAGAAGAGAAGAGGAGAGGAAGGGCAGGCCGGGCGTGTATGAAGACCGTCCTGATGGTTCGATCTCACCATTCGCAGCGAGGTGTCGGCCTCTTAAACCTCGTCTCCGGTCCGAGATCTGTTGCTCATAAATCTAGAATTTCTCGTCATCGTCTGGATGCTGGGTGGTCGGATTATCTGCCTTGATTATTCTGTGGAGGTGTTCGCGTCGTGGTTCCGTGCTCCGCGATCAGTCACTCGTCGGTTTCTTCATCAGCGGCATCTCTGGTGAGCTTTCTTGTTCAGCTTTTACCTTCCGATCTGTACTTCGTGGCCATGCCGTTTTGTTTCCTCCTCACTGATGTCAGCCGATTCGGTTTCGTTGAGTTCCTCCATGAGACCGTAGGTAGACGGGCCGGTGTCAATCTATTCAGTTTTGAATTTTGCCCTGAGACATCTGCTCGATGGTTGATTCATAGGCGATTGCCCAATTGCGGAAGGAGGGTAGGACGACGCAGTGCCGAATGCAGTTGCGAGGATTTAATGAGGAAAATCTTGACCTAATTGTTTGAGAAAATTCTTCATCTTCGGCACCGATGGATTACGACGTGATCGATGACACCCGACCGCGCCTGCAGCTAAAATCGGGGCCAGCCTCTTCACATTCCGAAGAGAGGCACGTGAACAAAGTGCAGGTGGGCATTTGTTGCAGCATAGGGGTTGCTCTTTTAGGTTTCGGGTGGACTTTAATTGCCCCTTTGCAGTTCATCTCCATGTGGTTAGGGCTGTCTATGATAGTGGGCCCACTCGCACCACTCTCACTGACCGGAGGAGACTGTCGAGTGGGAGAAGGAGAGCCGATTCCTCCTGTAGAAGTGTCAGAGGAGTTGCCGGAGGCAGCAAATTCGAGGGCTGATTTCAAATATGCACCTCGGAAAGGAGCTTTCGAAGTTTCGAGGGATGCCAAGACGGTCAAGGATGTAGAGGAAACAGTCGGTGGCAATGGGCCACGGCCTTCCGGTGCTCCGAAGGGTGAGACTGCAAACACGAATAATTCTCGGAAAGGGGCCACCGAGGCCGATGATAAGGAATTTACTCACGAAGAGGTCGAATGGCTGAGAAAATTGCTAATCAAGCATCCACGCGGTACCATGAAACGCTGGGAGGTCATCGCAGAGGCCATGGGTGGAAAGCACAGCGCAGACAATGTGGTGAAGATGGCAAAAGCTCTTGGGGAGAGGAAATTCACTGATCAAGATTCTTATACCAAGTTTTTGTCGCAGAGGAAAGGTTCCGATGTTGCAATTGCATCTCCTCTTAGTCAGCGATATGAAGGTGAGAATGGCACGGATCTTCAGGACGACAATGGCGCTGTAGGTGAAATCACAGCCAATGAGCCTGATGGCTCTGGGAAGGGACTATGGTCGGACAGAGAAGACAAAGCTCTTGTCACAGCGCTAAAGACTTTTTCAAAGGATACCGTCATGAGATGGGATAAAGTTGCGTCGGCAATTCCAGGAAAAACAAAAGCCCAGTGTTTGAAGCGTTTCTCCGAGCTCCGAAGAAACTTTCGAAGCTCCAAAGCAGATGGAGAAGTTGAATGATGATGTAGCGAGTCAGTATTTGAGCTATCTATTTTTGTTCCGGACATTGTACACTAACATTCAATTCAATAAACTCAATCACTCGAAAGGAGTTTTCATTCTGTAAGTAAGTTGGTCGTCTATATCCCTGTTGCTTTCCATTTTCTGTGCTTCTTCATTCTGGAGTCAATTGATGTTCTTCGCTCAAATCTACCTGCATTAAATTGGTTCGGTGTCCTTGTTCTAGATGCGGCAACACACCCCTCATTCATTATCACTACGCATGATCTACATCCTTCTCCATACACTTAAATCGCACGAAGATAATGTAGCAGAATAATGCACTTATCTCTAGCTGTAGTAGAATGTGTCTGTGAGGTTTATGTATCAGAAAGGTACATATTTGAAACTGCCGGCGACATGATGGGATAACATGGCTCTGAGCTGAAGACCGTTGGTGGTCACAGTTAACTAGAAGCTACCACGATAGTACAAGCCCGTTTGATCGCTGCGGTCAGCCCACCTTAGCAGTTTCCATCAGCAGTAAGTGCGGCCCGTAACTGGTCCATCATAGAGCGGGATGTGTGTTTTCTTTGAGCACACTTGGTTCTCTGTTAGAACTGTTGGAGGAAATTGTTTGTTCGAAATCATCGAGATACATGTTGCCGACCAGGACTTCTTAGAGACTTTTGACTCTTGAATCTGAGACTCCAAATTTTGTCGAATGTCCTTTTTACACGGACACTAGAAGCAGAGTCTCAGACCTACTCGATGAAACCTTACATGGCTTGAAGAAAATCTACAGGACATTACCAAGCCACGGTTGTTCGGGATAGATCAAGGCTACTTAGCGTTGTTATGCTTGTATTCTCCCAAAACCCTCCTGAGGTTTTTTTTAAGATTTTGAATGTCATTCATTCATTATCCAAAGGTTTAATAGTTCAGTTTCTGTTTCGATCGAGCTCACACTCTCCGAAAATCTGTTTCTCTATCTACCATCAAGTACAGATTTTCATGTAGTTTAGATACTTACGCAAGTGGTCGAATCTCCACGAAATTTTTAGGTAGGGAGAGCCAGAAGTGAACGGTAGTGAGAATGATATACAAGAATTGTGGAGTTGAGAAGTATTTGCAGTATGTATTTGCAGCTGAGTGAACATCGACGCGCATCGTGTGGAGGGAGATTCAGATTCATAAGAAGGAATTGTAATCCCAGGTTCATGAGAGTCGTCTGTTGATGAGGATAGTACAAAACTAATTATTCAATATATTGATCCTCATGCTTATAATGAGTCGTAAGTCGAATAATTGGTCTATGACAACTTACAGTATCGACTCAAAGATTCACTCGCCGTCTTCGGCCTGTACATCGATCAATGCTCAGCCCACTGAATGTGGAGGGCACTACGAACGTGATATTTAGCTCGAATCTGCTGTAGAGTGTGCCATGTCCTCAATGCTTTTATCTTCGTACGAGCTGTGTACCTCGCATTTAACCCCACAAGTCTATGCTCGCTCATTCCAGGCCCGGCTCTCTGAACTCCGCTAGGCACAACAAACCAACCTGAAGAAAAATCCACAATCTCAATTTCGAAATCAGTGTGCGCTAATTTTAACTCTAATCTCGCATATGACAAGCTCCACTGACAAAAGTAATGATATTGACAAATTTATGATAAATTTCTACTCTCGAAATCTGGCTACAAATTTGACTTTCCAACTAGCCCTCTTTAATCTCTATCCCTTGACCACTCGCAATATCGGTCATCAAAATTGCACTATTCGTTGCAACTACTACAAATGTTACTGCCTACTAGCACCTAGTACTGTAATGAATGTGCTGGCAGGTATAAAAATTGTACATCATTTCAATGGATCCATAATCTGGGCATATAAGTTTGCAAGACCACTTTTACATATATAGTTTTTACAGAATTTTGACTTGACTTCACTTTTATCATGTGAGGCGTTTTTCACAGTAACGAGAACGGTTACTGCAATGTTTCCATTTGTCCAATGATATTTTTTTAAAATATATAGATATTTTTATAATTATTGACATGTATTTAAAAACAAATAAAATCTACAAGTCAGCATGATCAGTGTCCACCGTAGTATGACATATGCTCGATCGAACGCATTATGTTCGAGCAGTCTTTTACATTTTCTCTTAACATCGTCAGATTCTTGTGCCAGTTTCGTCCAGAAGTCATATTGCAATCGGAATTGTTCGGAGGTCTCCTGAACGGGTTGCGAACGGAGACCTTCATGCCAGATTCTGTATATTTGAGGCCGCTCGCTGGCTCGAGCAATTTTGGTTTTCCTCTCCCGACGAAATTACTCGGCGAGCCCTAGCGTTCTGGAAAATTTGTTCGAGCCTCGTGTGGGATTTGCTCGAGAGCCCATTCACCATATTCTTCGTTGTCGACGAGGTTTGCGGATGGCGGCCGAGGTTGGGTCTCGTGTTCAGTATGTGCCTGTCAAGTATCAGGCATATCCGTGGCAGAGGGGGTCACCCGAGGTTTGGATTAGTCCTAAGTTAAAGAGTATTGCAGAACAGCTTCGTCAATATTCGTCTCCGGGTTCATCCGCTGATGAGGATGGAGGCGTAACTTCCAGCGTGGGAATGCCTGCTTCCGTTGCATCCTTGAACGATCTTAATGTTTTTCCCACAAAGAAAAGGGCAGCTGTGTTGGTCTGTCTCCACCAGACTCCAGAGGGCGAGCTGAGAGTGATACTGACGAAAAGGACGGCCAGCATGTCGTCACATTCAGGTACTATTCTTGTTTGAGGCTTTTGCTAGTATTGTATATTCTTTGATCTTGGTGGTGGTGAATTGGGAGAATGGGGAGTTTACGCATTCTGTCGGTTCTGATATTAAATGATGGTCTGCTATTCATGGATTAGTGGACTAGGAGACTAAATCTCCTGCAAGGTGTGCGAGAGCATTGTGTTTGCCTTCTTTGTCGGCCGTGACCAGGATTTTCTCTCGGGCCTCTTCTCGTGATATTCGTAAAATTCCACCACCTGCAGAGTCGGGAAATTGGAATTTTCGTAGGCAAATCATCTATGGCTACTGTAGATGTAAATTGGAAGATATACCAACCGCTCATTGTATCATTTCAGTGTTTGCGTATATCAATTGGGTGCTCATGACTTGGCCGAGACGTAGATCTCTTTTAACTCGTGTCAAATTAGTGAGATAGTGGTGACCACATTTGCAGTAAGTTGGTCTCACCAGCTCCTCAATATCACGTTGCAGGTGAAGTGTGTCTCCCTGGAGGTAAAAGAGACGAGGGTGATGTCGACGATACAGTTACCGCATTGAGGGAGGCACAGGAAGAGATTGGACTTGAACCATCCCATGTTCGAGTTGTAGCGGTTCTTGAGCAATTCCTTTCAAAGGTAATTCGAACTGGAAGTTTGGATTTGGATGATGACTTGTGCGATGCAAACTGTTATTACGTTTGTAGAGTACCGACGTTGACCTGATAACTCGAACAATCTCACATATGAAATGGTTTTCACGCGTCCCATGAGACATCTTAAGAAAGCACTGTAACGTATTTTTGTCTGTTGACGTCGTTTGGTAAAAGTATTCGAATCCTTGCAACAGCTTAGCATCTGATAGAGAGTCTAGAATTTCGTTTCATTTGAGTTTGCTAACGCATTAGATCCCTGATACAGCCATACGCTGGGATTAATATACACTTCATAGCGCTGAAGCCTATTTGGGGTTTATATATGAGCTATAAAAAACAACGGTGTGTTTGCCACGCGCAGGATTTGCTTGGTGTTACTCCCGTTATTGGGCTTCTTGATGATGTGAGCAATTTCAGGGCTGTCGTGAATCCTCATGAGGTGGAAAGTCTCTTCGAGGCGCCATTGGAGATGTTTCTCAAAGTAAGATGAAATCTTAGAAGCTGGAGAGTTGTTATGATGTGTCCCGAAACTGTGCCTTCGTGTTTTGTTTAGTTATGTGGAATGAATATCATGCCTTCTGTTCGGTGTGTGACCTCTCCTTCCAGTTTTATTTTCGTAGATCATTAGTTGCAGACGGTTGCTTTATCAATCTGATAATCTGACTTGCTAGGTACTGTTTGTTGTTACAGGAATCAGAGAAGCATTGGTTTGAAGAGAGGGTGTGGTTGGGAGTAAAGTACCGGGTTCATTTCTTTGATTATACGACCCATCTTGGTGAGAAATTTTTGATATGGGGCCTTACGGCATCGATATTGATCCGTTCTGCTTCCCTTGTATACCAAAGGGAGCCAGACTTTGTGGAGTTTGCTCCAGACTTTTCAGCTATTGTCAATTCTTCAAAAGCTTTGGGTGGCAAATCCGTCGACAGTCTAGGCGCGACCCCTGAAAAAAACTCAGAAGAGTAAGTGAGGTGAGTCGGTCTTCCTTCTTCAGTAGTTAGGATGGTGCAAGTATTTCACCTCCAAGACAAATTTGTTTGGGAGCTGTAATTTACAGTTTATTGGTACTCATTTTTTGAAGGTCTGTGCTGAGCTGGCCTGGACCGCCCTCACGCCTGTAGTACACGGAAACAATCTCACTGGACCCTTGGTCCCACGTATCACCGAGATGCGGAGTTCTGCGAATATTTGCAGATGGACTTTCCTGTTCTTAGTATCAATTTTAATTCATGCCACAAACGTGCGCCAGTGGATCCAACTGAGTCGTGGCTGCGACCTTTCATTAATAAATAGCGTCCAGTAAAATGAGCAATTCAGGCCCATATGGCAAGCAGAAATGGCAATCATTTCTCTTGCCTCTCCAATCTTTAGTTGGAGTCGGGTTCAGTATGTACTCTTGTACAATACAGTCAATGCACAAGAAACCCTTCTAGGAACGTCTTCACTCAGGACCTTCTTAGTATTCGCAACAACATCTTCTGGAAAACTTGAACTTGCTCTGTATTATTTGTATGACGGAGATGAGCATTCCTTCGCGGAATATTCCGATCACGTCCCTGTAGAAAAGAAAAACACGTCCACATGTTCACACCTCGGTATACTCGACTTCTCTACCTTCCAACTCTTAAAATGTGTTCTGCACATGTTTCCCGTCATCTTTCTCTACATCCGCTTTTTGGGGTCATTCTTCAATTTGTTGGTTGTTAATTGCGTGCTTAAGAAAAAGTTCTTATGAAGGATGCAAGGAGACGACAAAATGTTAGGTCGTCTGTTGTATGCTCGAGGATGGTGCTTCGAAGATACCTTCGGGAGGCTAAGAACACACGGAATAATGATCCAGCACTAGACCAGAAGAAGCAACGTTGTTATCCAAAGTTGCCTGTGTACATATGACTCGATAGTAACGAATGAACTATGATAACTGATAAGGTGAACCTTGTGATGTTGTAGCAGCAACGAGTCGTGCAAAGTAGCATGGTAGACTGAGCTCGACATCTCATTATAGGCTTGAGTTGTGTGTCGATCGTATGTGAGTGAAAATAGCTACAATTTCTGGATTCCATCGACATCCCTCCCTTTTCTGAACAAAAGTTCACTGAGTTGTAAGTAAACTTTGGTTTCTTACTGTCTAAATGTGATGTAACCCTCAGTTGCCGCGCTATCTTGTGTATCACATTGTACCACGAGACCTTTTGTTGATCTGTATGGCGTGTCCTCTTCTATGAGACTTATGATGTGTGAACTCCCAAATCAGATTGGGCTGGAATCGCACTGGAACAGCCAGTTGAGCTCATCGGGCCACATTAATTTATGGTAAAACTGTTGAATCTCACTGTATTCCAGGAGTGATTAGACTATATCTGCACCCAAGTGGAGCCACTATTTTAATGAATAGACTACGTAAGATTTGCATCTGTACACTCTTCGTTCTCAAATATAAAAGATGTGAAAGCCTCTGGGTACATCACTTTCTCCTACTTCACGACAATGAAGAAGCAGAAAGTATAATCCAGCTTCTACATAAGCTGAAGCTTGTCACGGCATAGATCGTGGATCCCCCTGTAGGTTCAAAACTCGATTTAGCATTGTAGATACCGTTGTAGGTCGAGAGTTACTGTGTTGGGAAGCATCGAACGTAGGTCTGAGTAGTTCCATGTCCTGTTGCAACGTAAAGCATTTACCTCGATTTATACCGAGCAGTATCTATGCATCTTGTTCGGTTCGACCGAAGCCTTCTTCCCGAATTTTGTCACTCCTCATATATCTTGACCAAGTGGGAACCATTAATGCATCCTTCGCCAACATAATTAGATGGCTCAGTAGGTTCTCAGTCAGGCCAATATTTGTCCACGTGAGACATTATTGGGTTTTGCATCGTTCACTTTAGGTGTGCATCCATGTAGCTTGAATTCTGGCCCTGTCTCGACCTTGAAACTTATTACTGGGTTGTTGCTTCCTCATCATCTTCTTAATTACTGGTTCTTATCCCTCTCAGACTTTGACGTCTCCAAAAATGGTTTCGATCTCTAGTCGACTTCTTTGCTTTTGTTTCTGCCTCGTACTCTTCACTTTTGTTTAGCACGATTGTTTTGGTAGTGTCTCTCCCGCATCAGCAGCTTTCACGTCATGTGCGGCAAGTACTATAGAAGACTGCACTCCACCGCAACATGTGTCCACTGACATAGGTCTGGTTGCCGAGAAGGTTACTTGTTGGCTCATCGTCGGATTTTCAGGGCATGTACATATAGTCTTCTCTTTACAAGTGTTATGCTATATCACATTATAGAACTACTTCTTATTACAATAGATATTGACTTTTAGTATATGTTATCACTCACTGCACAGTCATTATTTTTTCATCCCAAAATGCTCTTGTGCATGAGCGACATCACTTTCACATGCGGGAAACGCGTGAGCACACAAGTCTTGACCTGCGTTGTTATAGATTGCGATCACCACATAGTCCGCAACATGCAGAAAGAATGCCGAAGAAGACTCTTGGTGCATCCCTACAAGCATTGCTATTAGCTTGCCTTAAATTATATACTTGAATTTAATATACTAAGTAAGTGTATATATATAGAAGTAAAGTATATCAAAATAATTTGCAAGGCAAGCTAATTTCCTCAAAAATACTTCACTGTATGTTTCACTTACATCAAAATTTCAGTTTGTCCGCATGTGCAATCGTAACGGGGCGTGTATAAAATAATACAAAGACAGGACAAATTCATTACACTCGATAGTGCTACAGATAAATTTTCCTAAAAATTAACCATTTACTTATATGTTAAGATTCTCTATCATGATAACGTCAGTCAATGCAAACAATCATGAATGACCACCACGTGTAGATTATTCAAACCAACCGCGTCCAGTCATAGTGCACCTTTACACTTCAGTCCATGTAGTCTGAACTGAGACGCAAATTCTGTGAATTACAAGTCAGAAAGTGCCGCAACGCTCAAAACGATGGAAAAGAATTCCCAATCCCGACTTAGCTACTGCAAACCTCGATTGAACATCGTTGGGTCGAAATCATTCGACTTTTTCCATCAGATTAGAGAATAAGGAGTGCGAGTTTTATCATCCCCTCTAAGAATACAAACAATGTCAAAATGGTAAACGGAGAGGCCTGGACCTCTGGCCAGTAGAATATAAGCCGCGCTCCGAATTTCGCTGGACGCACAATCGTAGGCTTGACCACACATAAGAATACATCGGAAGGGTGACGATCGGAGGCCGTGCAATTGTGGATCGTAGGAAGAAGCGAACTGGATGGACAAAGCCTATCTCGATCGGTCTGGCGTGGTTCGACTTCTGCATGAGCTCGAGACTCGCCCGCAGGAAGGAGGGTAGAGGAGTGGATAGGAAACGCAAACGTGCAAGAACTCGATCTCACCGATGAGTTCCTACCGGCGGAGAAGGCCGACGCGCATGCGCGCCATGACTGGAGCGACGAGCCCAACACGCGGCGCAATTCGCCCGACCAAAATAGCGAGAGCGCTTTCTTTTAATCAGGGGTCACTCGTTGGCGCCAGCCGGCCGGCCAGCGACTCTCGAGCCATGTCGGGCTCATGCATGTCGAGAGCCAGAGGAGGCTGGGCCGGAAGCAGAGCAGAGCACCGAAGACCGAATCGATTTTGTCCAGAGGACGTGCATGGCTCCGGACTGAGATCTTGCGGTCTGGGCCTCGATTCACCTTTTCCGCCTGTCGGACGTCGAGTTGGAAAGGAAAGTCCGAGCGGGCGAGGCTTCGGGCTCTCCTGACCAGCCACGTGTTCCAATGCCTGAGTTGCAAGACGGTCAAGGTTCTGTGGCGTGGACAAAGTGCGTCGGCCTGCTAATCGCAAGTTCGCAAGTTCGCGTGCATGGAGTTCATCCGGTTGCGCTAACTGGCCGCTCCGGTCACTGGCAGCGTTTTGGTACTCTGGCCTATGACGCCCGTTCATGGAGAAGTGTACCGGCTGCAAGGGTCCCTTGACTGGGTCTACCGCCAAGTTATCCCTTCGGTTCCTTTCATCCGTTGCTCTGCGATATATACTCATCGATAAAACAAAAACTCTCAAAAATCACAAAACGATCACTAGAGGACGAGAATTTATCGTTCCTCATCTTCATGGTAGACTTTACGTTATAGTCTCTTCTTCCACTAAAATTGAGTTATTTCAGGTGTTCATATACGATAGTGATATTTTAATATTCAAAATGGAATTTATCTTGTAAAACATTAATATCTAAATTATCTGCAATATTCTCTTGCTCTTTTAAAATAATTATGGTTTAAAATATAGGATTTTAACTGAATAAAAAATTTCAAAGATTCTATCAAAGATTGCTGTTCTCCTGCGTTTGAAAACGAGAGATTCGAATTAAATTTAGACACCAACACGCAGCTAAAATTAGTGTATAGTTTAATGTGCAGTCATTATTCAAATAATAAAATATTACACATAATAAAATTATGTGTAATATCTGTTCTAGTGTATAAGCCACTCAATATAAAAGCAGTTAAAATTCTCAGAAGTGACAAATCTAAAAACCAAAGTCAAAAAATGACTAAAATGAGTTTGAGTTTTGTTTGGACATACCACTAAGTCCATATCACGGTCCAAAATCCAGCCGCGCAGAGAGTGTGATGTAACTTCATCAGAGGACTGTGCACAACTTTGGTGTGCGAGTAGTAGTTTATCAATTGCAATATATTCATTGTGAACATTTTAGCGTGTGGTAGAGAACGTTCGCCTAATTTGTTTAATTAATGAGATCGATACTCAGAACGGCGCATCTTCAACCCTTATGCTGTAGCATTGTCAAGAATTCTTCCACTGACCGATTGTTACTACTATAAGTTCTTCTTGAATCTACAGCATGAATGGACAAGTCGAAAGAAACTATATCGTTAGCTTTATTTTTTGATCTATCGAACTTTGAAGAGGTACATGTCGGGACATGTGCAAATGGAACTTAGGGACCCCGAAAGCCATTTAAAATCAATCGAGCGTTGAAATTGTAGTGACTTTGCCTAGATTACAGACAGTCATATGAGGTATATGTGCTTGTGGATTGTAACCATAGCAACCAGGGAGAGAAATGTCACAGAAGTACATGGCTTAGTTGCGTTTTAGAACCTCCTCAACCTTCCACCTCTGGAGAGTGGAGCGTGAACAGCAAATGTCTCCTAATATAATAATAAGCTAGAATTTACATTTTTATTTTATTTTCTATTATATATAGATATGGAAATATAATGAGACATCCTTTTGGGAAAGCGCAAAGCTCACTGTAATAGTGAATATGGTGCAAAGCTTACTGTATTAGTCAATATGGGTATAGACATCTTTTCGCTATTCAAACACTACTTTAAATAATAGGTATACTTCATTCCATAAAAAGCACCCGTTGACAGTATATTAAGATACTTATTAGTTGGAGCATTAGTATTATTTACTTTTTTATTGTGATTTTTGACTTGGAAAATCTTGTTATTTAGATGCAAACGTAACATGTTACATTTCATCGTGCACAAGGTTTTTTCTGTCCTTGTTCATATGTTTCTCTGCATTCGTTTAACTAGCATGATAAAGCCAGAAAAAATTCAGATACGGTGGTGAGAGAGCAATGTGATTCGGTAGATTGCGCCATCATCTGGCATAAGTAATGACGTCATGTACTCGAAGCCCAAGTTCTTAATATACGGTTCGGTACCTCACATCGGTAGAAGCAATAACTTCAACTCTGGAAGACTTAATTATGACAGTCATTCTGAGAGTTGACTGCTGACGTAAGAATGAGCAGAAGTGCAGGGCTATGATACTACGCGTCAAAATACGCTTGGGGGCGTAGAGGAATCCCCGTAGTCCAACTTTAGAATTAAGTGTAGTTCAGAAAATAAAATAAAATAAAAGTATGAGTAAGTGGAGTTACTCATTCCGAAAGTACATGGTACAGACGTAAATCATGAGAGTTGAGTGACTTCACCCTGTTCCCAGCACCAAACCTGCTTATGCAGTATGCTGCCCACTATCCCAATTTCAGCCCATGCTGGACGAGTGGCGAACAATTGGTCCATGGATCGATCGAAATCTCGGCCGCCGTACTTTGAGTTGGTAAAATGTAAAGACCCACCAGAGGGTTTGTTCGACGGGCCAGTTTTGCATTCCCTGGGGCTCAAGCTGACGGCACCGTACGAGGCGGAGAAGGTCACACAAACAATGAGGTCTTCTGCAAATGGCAGCAAATCTCTGACTCGGCGTAATAGCGCTGGGTCTGCTCCGAAGACAAATCAAACAGACACAAATCATCATTTCTGTGAGAAAAGGTCTACCAAGGGATTCGAGGAATGTCTGAGCCTGCAGAAAGTATCCATGCTTTTGGTGAAACAGAAGCTCTTCTGCCTTCTTCTGCAGTCGCCCTGATCGCTTGGACGCTTTGAAAAGGCCTTCCATGAAGTCGGAATGTCAATCAGTCCTTGTTCCTCTGTCCTCCTCCCTGCTCAAGGTCTACGTCGATGGAGTAAAAGATCAGATAGGGCTCTTTTTATATTGTTGTGGATTTTGACCTGGGGACTGAGGCCTATGTTGGTCTCACTATGGTGTCAGGAAGAATAGTCAGATGCCTCCTTCCTATATCAAGGGTACCACTTACCACGGGGCAGCAAGTAATATAGCACGGAGGTTGGGAATTTGTTGACCCCATCCAACAGCACACGGATGAAACCCAAAAGGCAAGATAAGAGTATGCCGCACGAGCATCACAATGGCAAATATGCACTACTGCACATACTCCTCATATTTCGGAACCGTCTGCATTTTATATATGCGCATACCAAGAATCATAGCCTGAAATGAATACTATACATTACTTTACATCACACAGACATTTCAAACTAGTGAATGATTATTTCAAATAAAATTAAAAAATTCATTAAACTTTATCCAACTAGCATTGTTAGAAGGTTACATCGTCATCTCTTGAAAAATTTCACTCTATGTTAATCAACAAAATTTTGTTTTAATTTTTTTATGATATCACAATAAGATAAAATGTTATTTTGAAAATATCTAAAATATTTCTAATCAAAAAAATGTGATATGTAAGATGTACTGTTAATATCAATTTGAAAATGGAAATAATAAGAAAAATAAAAAAAATTCTTCTATACTTGATATCATTCTTGTTTTAATAATATTAAAAACATTTCTACACTTTAAATATGCAGTAAATTATTATTTGAAATTTTTTTAATACAAATAAATCAACATGCATAATTTTTAAATACCAATTTTCAATAAACTATAAATTTTAAATACACTAAATTTAAATTTTCTGTAACCTTTGTGTGCATGTAAAGTGAAATATTAAATTTATACATGTTATGAATCAAACTGTTGAAATGAACATAATCGATGGTTCAAAAAAAATACAAAATTTATTACAATCTCATGGTGACAGTTTAAATTTCATCCCTTTCAAATACATATTGATATTGATATTTCCTGTTCGATGTATTGAAAACGTGTTTTGAATCATTCGAATTCATGCTGCATCAACAGTAAAATCATAGATCGAGATCCATACAGAAGCAAAGAAGATGTGGATGGGTGGTTTAAGCCAAGATAAAATCTCAATGCTATAATCAAAGTAAATTTAGAAACCACTGCTGCATAATAGAGGTAGATAAAAACATGCATCCCTGCTAGAGAAAAAGCCTAAGCAAACTCCTCTTAGAATAAAAAAATGGTTGATTCCGTTGATAACAATATGTGAAACATGCCAGACTTTGCATGTTTCAAGTAAGATATGAACATTAGTCTGAATAGAAACCTAAACACTAAGTATCAAAGTAAGATCTGATAATAACCATGCGATACGAAGAAAATTGAAATTGCATTCTTTGCTTTCTTTCAAATGTAGCTCGCTTCATATTCGAAGATCATTAGACCAGGTTTATGACCGGAGGAAGTTGCTCCTGTGAGCGTGCATAGTCCATTTAGCATGAAGTACTTCACTCAGAGACGCAAGAGAAAAGAAGCTCATTAACCTCTTAGCTAATTGATGCGCAGTACCAATTAGTGCTTATTACATATGGAAAAACATGATAGAACTATAAGTGAACTTGAATGAAGGATGTACCTTAACAAACGACACATGTAAAACTGATAGAATTTACCTCTCAATTCTTTTTTCCAGCTACGTAATAAGAAAAAATAAAAAATCTTACTATCGTAGTCCTTTCTCTTGCTTAGTAGGTAGAGTTGTTGTTAGTTTGTTGCCCTTCTATTATCTTTCTGTATTCAGGGTTTTAGACAACGAAATAGCAGTGCAGTGTGCAGGAGCATTTGCAATAGATTAAGAATATTACCACGAGTGTACCATCATATATATTTGTTAGTGGTCCCATCATTCATTGGTAACCTTAGGATTTGCATGCAAAATATTGAAATAGCAGACGTAGGTATAAAAATCAATACAATCAGAGCGACAGAGGTACATTGTAAAGCCAACGCAGGGGAAAAAATAAAATAACGTGAGGGCCAACTGATGTTAGAGAGTTAATCACCACGTCTCCAGCCATACCTCTGATAACCTCTACCTGCACATCGTCGGCAGAGATGATAAACAGAGATGTAAAAGTGAGATTCACAAATTTCAGCCATGTTTCTCTCACCGGTATAGGTTAAAACATGTTGTTATACAGTGCATATCTACTGCTCAGGATACTGGATGCAATAAATTAACGATAATTTTGCACCAGTTTGTGTATCACGATGAAGCCGAACGAAACCGACTTTAATGAAACATTCCAAATCTAGTGAAAAAAAATACATATCAGAAAGAGGAAAGGAGAGGGGAAGATACTATTCGCTGGAGATTAGCACTACATTTGTTTCGCGTACCTTTTGGTGCTGATTTTTTAAACCTTAACTTATGGACGCAGTTACTTAGGTGATGGTTTTGGCAACTCGGTTTCTACAAAGATTCGACTGCCCTCTCGTCGTGTCGATACCATAAGTTGACTTTGAATCATCCCGTAGATGGTCTAACCTCATAGGCAAACACGTAACAAATGAGACCAAGAAAATCATTGTCCCATGCGAAGCATGCCACGTAAGGCACTCCTTGCCACCATATTCAGACTCATCCAGCATGAGTAGCATGATGCTTGGATTATTCAAATTTGAAATATCGGGAACGTATTACTTCGGAAACGCAGCACACGACGGACGCGAATTTGAACTCAAAATTTGCGCACGAATAAGCGGCCGAGCGACAAGATTATTTTGAAATCTGGGGTCGATGACTTCAACGAATGAAAGAAGTCGAGGTGGGGAAATTCAAAGTCATTTGAACTCCTTCGTGCCAAATGCGGTGACCGGCGAATCGCTGCGTCGTCAGTCATTCGGTCAGCGAGTTTAGAAGATGCACACGAGAGACTGATGAGCCTGACGCAGTACGGCGATGTAGGTGCCGGTCAGGGTTCAGATGGCGTAGAGGACTATGTAAACCTCTCCGGGCGAGGTGTAGGTGGTAGCCAACCGCACAACGTGGTCGATGGATGCAAAGGCAGAGGGCCAAAGAGGCGCAAAGACTTCGTAGGGGCATCCATAATTCGAGCATATGACTGCCGCTGTCGTATGTCCTCCGGAAATAAAAATAAAAATTCATGAACCGGCACGATGACATAATCTCGAGCTGTTCTTAAATCGTTGACTGCTCGCGGACTTCCTCCAATCTGAATGTCCAAATGATTAGGCTCTAGTGAGAGGGAGTTGGTACGATATCCCCGCTCTCGTTAGTCTTCCATTCGATGTGGGCACAACAAGATGTTCGGAGCCTAGCCCCTCGGTGTCTTCCTTGTACGGCTGGATGGCGTTTTTCATATCCACTTGGCCCCTTTTGCCTCGTACTTCGAGGTGAGGCCCTCCGTCGAATGTTTTCCTTAGCGAGGGTAAAGAAAGCACTTTGGGAGACATGGTAAGATTGGAAATTCGGTTGGTCGTTTAGCAACATTTCCATTTAAAGATTGAGGCGTAGCCCCCATTCGACCACTTCGCAGTATTGTGGGGGTTCCACAGCTCTTAGCGTTTCTTTACAGTGCTGTAAATGTAACGCACACAAGTCTCAACCGGGTAAAGAAGTGGGTTTGAATATTTATGGCGTTCACTTTACAAATCCGAGAATGCCCAACTGGCTGAGGTTCTCGCCACATTCTGCATGCTGGCAAGGCCGGTGAACACGACCCTCGTGTGTCGGCAGTTCTCGGTTACAGATGGACACGAACCGGATAACGCAAACCGAGTCTGGTTGTCTACGTCCCGAGGTCTCATGGAGCCCGTTTCATAGTTACGATAAGGATAGCAGTCGATGTCATGGTGAAAGTTGCATCATATTCAGAGTCTTCGAAACTATATTAAAATCATGTGCGCTAACGATATTGACAACCACGTTCACTTGGAAACATATTCTCTTAGGCGTGCGATGTGAATAAGCACCAGTGTCCATGCCTACTCTCAATGTTCACGAATTTTTATAATGTGTGATTAAGTATTCTGCACTTCAGAAGAGTTTGATGTTTTGATTTATTGCAATCCTGTAAGCTTGGAATGAGGTGGTTGGTAACGTGATGATTTTTTTTATTCTTTCCGCAGTGGAGTTACACGCCGTTCCACCAACCAAAAATGTAAGACTTGGAAAACGTAAAATGAGTTGGCTATTTCTAGCATTTTTTGACGAAAAAAAATTGTTTCAAAAAAATAATTCACTCCAAATCCAATTTGATTCGAGATTATTGCGTGCAAGGACGGCGCATAGATTGTAAGCATGGTCGTATTAGACATTGAAATGGGAAACAAACAAAGATAAATTGAGGAATATAACCCAATCGTGAAATTGTTTCTTATACAAGGATGCGTACTTTCTCACAGTGCGAAAATCGCTGGACACATTCATCGGGCATTAAAGGCATACGGGTTAGGAACTTAATTATGTCAAAAGCATTGAACTGAACACCCACAATGCAACTACACGTGTCAAACGAATCCTTCAGTACTAAATGAGTCCATCAGTGTCAACCGAGGTTGTGTGCCTGCTTCATGATTCGCGAGGAGGTACCAAGGTCGGTCTCTTTCCTGGGAGGAAAGAAAGCGTCCGACCTTTCTTTCGTGCACTGGAAATAAGTCGGCTCTCCGGGAGCCCGGTGCCGAGGAGGATAGCGAAAAGGATGGGAAGGTCCGTCGTACGCTGCCATGCAGAGAAGAGAGCAGGCCGGGGTCGGGTTTCCGCGAGGAGGTCGACGTTGACATTGAATATCAGGCCCGGAGGGGCTTCCGACGTCACAGGCGCGAATCCTAGACGCGACGATGATGGGCAAGATTATCCAACCACGAGAAAGCCGTTAGATCGACCTAGACCTCAGCCGCCGTCGTGAAAACGATCGTCGCGATTCCGGAGAATCAGGCCGAATCCATTTCCGGCACCCGAAGCCTCTGCCAGGGTTCGGGCAGCCGAACTCGGCGCTCTAGATTCGTGGGGCTCCCCGATGGTCGACGTAGTTGCTGTTTCTTCTGGGCCCCAGTGTCTCTGTTCCCAAATTACGACGTCGCCAGATTGGCGACGTCGTAAGGGACCCTAATTTGGGAACAGGCGTTCTCGAACAAAAGAGGAAAGAGCCCTTGGCCCCGGCCTGTTCAAAGCGGAGCGGTCTATTTAGGCGCGGGGCGGGGCGGGGCTGGCGGCCTGGCCTGCTATCGGGTGGATCGTTGCTCGCGAATCATGTCGGACCGGTCGCTGGCGAGGCGCGCCCGCCCGCCCGCGCCTCTCGTACTTTGTCCAGACTGGAGGAGGACTTGCGGTGAAATATTGGTGATGCAGGGCACGGGAGCTCGAGACAAGTGGTGGCACCAGGGAGCTGACAGATGAGGCACCCCTACAAAAGGCTGGCCCTCTGCAGGTCGTCTGTCGTCCATCGTCCGTTCCTTGCGCTCTGCTTCTCCCTTTTGCGCGAGAGGAAAGGCGAAGCGAGAGACGCGATCGTGGGTCTCGCGCCGAAATCGCAGCCCGCTCTCGTTGCTTGCGGGACCTGCGAAGCTTCAAGCGCTTCAAGAGACATCGGAGGAGCATTTTGAAAATATTGGCCTCTGTCCTTGTATATAGAGTGGATTTGGCACCCAGAGGTCGTGAGCTAGGATCGCAGTGTTTGTACATTCGTATTCCCCTCGGCCTCCTCTGTTGTTTCTTGTAGCTTTTTTTCCAGTTTATCTCTGTAACGAAGGTGGGTACTTTTCGTAGCTAACAGCATTACATTACGCTGATTGTGGCCAGAAGAAATCTGATACATTTTTCACTAGCTGGGACCGAGAGCTTTGAGCTTTTTTGGTTAATATCGTCTATGAATGATTTTCTGCTGGCTTGAGGGTATCTAGCAACCCCTGCTTCAAGCACAGCGTCGCCCATACCGATTTAGAGAATGGAGTGTCTTCAATTTGCTCGGCTTTGCGCAAGCCCGAGACAGAGCCAGGCGCTTATGTTTCCTCGAAAGCACGTCGGAGGTTCTTGTGCTCCAATTGCTGGTTATTCCGCCTTTCAGCAAGTGCTGTCGATGAAAGGTCCGGCTTCTTATATTACCGAATCACGTTTTGAAGCAGTGCAAGTTAGGTTGCACTCTTGAATTGTTCATCAAATTGTGTAGATGAAGGATCATCTGCGTTCAAGCTAGGTTACGATGCGTATTGGGGTCGCGGAATAGTGACCACAAATTAGTAAACACTGCTTTCTTGTTCAAGCGGCAGAAGTGTACACAGTACACTTTTGCGCAGTTGTGAGCAACGCACGTTTCTTACTGCGCCTAGTCAAGTTGCTCGGTCCTGATTATCGTCGTCACTTGACAGTAGACATGGACCTGTCATTTTCCGGTGCATTTAAATATCGAAATGTACAGGCCATTTTACCAATCACTGATCGCTTACTTCTGATGCTAGTTTAATTCTACAATGCTGCGGCTTTGGTTTCAAAAGTGTCTGGAGTCACTTCGACGTCCCTTAGCTGTCTTTCATTGATGGTAATTAGTATGATCACGCTGGGATTGTAGAAAGTTGGCTTATATTTGAATGCGTGGTAACTGTTTTGCTTAATCATCTCTCTCATCATCACGGGTCGATGATGTCTTTCTCGCAGGTTACATTGCTGATGGTCGCAGTAATCGAGCTTGTAAAAGCAAAGCGTATCTTCCGAGCCGCTTCCAGGAGATCATCGGGTTGCAGCTGCCAATTCTCAAAACTGGACGAGTGGGAATTAGGAAACATGCTAAACTTACGGTCTCAGCGACTGCAAGACCCATGGATGTCGATGAGGGGGCATCAGCGGAGTCGGGCAGAGTACAGACGAAGACTCTTGTCGACTCCGGACTTGATTGGCTAGATGCTTTGCATCGATTTTCGAGGCCTCACACCATCATTGGCTCCGTATGTCCTATACTCTCAATCCAAAATCTATCAGCATGCTCTACTCAAATTTACAGGAGGCGAGATGTTGAAGACGTCTATATCCCACCACGTAACTCACAGCATTGGCAGTAGATAACTGGAGAACAGGTATCGAACAGGTGTATTGAGTGATCTTCTCCCGCAATCTTAGTACCCTGCAAGCTCCTGTGAACAACCTGACTGTTCGGCTGCGATGTATTAGTCGTCATGTCATGATGTAGAGTTCTCCATATTTATTTGATAGTGAGATGTAACACGTATGACCTTGTCCTGAGGTTAAGCTTCGTTTGCTACGCAGCGCTCTCGAGAAATGAAACTTTCTTTCGTCTCTGGCTAGCAAACTACTGTTATCTTGCTATAGATACAATACAACTGTAAACCAAGGGGTTCTTGAGGCTTCCGATTGAGAGGATTCTCTCTCTTGGCTGTTTTACTCCCTGAGATCTTGAGGACCGATGGTTCTTCGACTTGTCATTGTTGGAACAAGAAAAAGGTAGGAGTTAGCATTATGCTTATAACTTCGTTTTCATACAGCATATGAGTAAGCTCACCATGACTAGAGCCCTTTGTAAGTTGAAGCCAACTTGATTACTCTTTCCTCACTTCAGGTTGTCCAAGATCTCGAAACCATCTCACAGTTAAATCGTAAAATAAGCTCATGAAAGTGGACGCTGTACTCTATCGGTTGAAGAGCTTATAAGTCGGGTCGTTCTTTGGAAATATACTCTAATATCTGTACTTTGTCCTTCAGGCTTTGGGTATTGCATCCGTATCACTCTTGGCGCTTCAAAATACGAATGAGCTGTCCACCAAGTTCTGTGTCGGCCTTCTTCAGGTAATGTCGTCAAGCTGCTGAGGTCCCTCGAGTGTCATGTTTGCAAAGTAACTCATTATGTGAACGTGTGGGCTCTCACTCTCTATTTTGGAACATGACCCCTCACGTATCATGTAGATTGGAAGTTTTGTTGAGTTGTCTTGCGCAGCTTGTCGGTGGAAGCTGTCTCTGTTTGCTTTCATTTAAGCGCGATCGTGTATGTGCAGGCCGTGATACCAGCCTTGTTTATGAATATCTACATTGTTGGGCTGAACCAAATATATGACGTCGATATTGACAAGGTATGAGTTGTGCATGCCGAGGTCACCTCGTTGAGTGATAGCAATTGCCGACTCTGAGCAATTTTTTGCGGTTTTGATTTTGCTGTTCTCTCTAAATACGTTAAGAAATTGTTTCAAGCTAAATTTCACTAATGTTACACCCGGGTCGTTTTTCTCTAGTTATTATGGTTATGCCTCACTAAGTCTAGGCCTTTTCTGGTTCATGCAGGTCAACAAACCTTACCTTCCGCTTGCATCTGGTGAATTCTCCATGGGCATGGGTGTGGCCATAGTTGTCGTCTCGGCTGTGCTCGTAAGTGATCTGCATTTTGGTCCACATCTTCAAGTTCTCGAAATGGGGTGAAGTACATGATGCTTCACGGTTTTGAATAAATATTTGGTCCTTTATGCATGCACAGAAGAGGGAGAATCTGTAAACATGCTTTGTTCTGAATTAGTCATTGATTTCTACCGTCCGTAGTCAAGTGGCATTCTATGTTCGACTTACCTATCTGCGTTGATCGTAGTGAGCTGAGCTAGACTACTCATCAAAGCCTGTGGTAACACATAATCCTGCAGAGCCTTGCAATTGGACTCATGGTGGGATCGCGGCCCTTGCTTTGGGCCCTCTTGGTCAGTCTTGTGTTGGGCACAGCATACTCTGTTGATGTAAGTCTCCGTACATCTGTAAAAATTCTCTCGAGTCCAAACTTGAATAGGGAAAGACTTATGTTTGCCTTGTGCGCTGATGGTGGCGTCTTGTACTTGATAAAACTTGGTTGTCGAAACGCCAATCACCACATAGTGTCCTCAATCAACGAAAGCTGCAACAATTAACATGTTGCATCTTTTGATGGATTGTCGAATCGATCTCTATGTTATCCTCCTATTTCACATTTTCCTAGTAATATACATGTCTGCACATGTCAACCATCCTATAATCACCTCTGGAAGCTTGAAATCTGTTCAATTAGATTATGGAGTATAAAGGCGGTTTGAATTGTCACTTTCTCGAAGCAGTACATACGGTTACCAGCCAATATTCTGGATTGAGTCTATTCCTGAGAGTTTAATCTGTAGAGTCTGCAATCTTTAGATTTGATTTAGATCGGGTTCTGTGTTTTTTTTGTGTGACTACCGTACAACTCCTCCAACCTTCCGTTCGACATACAAATATTATCTGAACAGTCAGTATACCGATTAGGTGGCTCGGCAAATGTGCAGATACCCTTCTTGAGGTGGAAAAGATCAGCCCTTGCCGCCGCCACCTGCATCCTTGCTGTGCGAGCTGTAGTTGTGCAGCTCGGCTTTTACTTCCACATGCAGGTATCTACTCACCAGCGTTACACGAGCGAGGAAATCTGGGTCTAAAGACGCAGCTCTTTAGAATTGTTGACTTTTCTCGAGCCTCTTCGTGAAAGGGTGAAAATTTGAAAACTGTGATCTGCAACTAATTTCTGGCACGACAAAAGATTTATGATTCATTTGCCCTTGAAGGAGCCTGCTGGTCACTTGCAATGAGTTGTCGTTTCTCTAGTTCTACATCGTGAGAAAGATGGCACGAAGAGGGCGAAAGATTTTATTGACTTTTTAGCCCTCTTGTCACTTAAATCCTTATTTTGAACGTCACCTGGTAACTTGTAATAACACTCCTGAATTGTGACAGAGTTTTGTGTTTGGAAGAGCTGCAGTGATGACTAAGCCTCTCCTTTTTGCAACGGCTTTTATGTCTTTCTTCTCGATCGTCATTGCCCTTGCGAAGGTAAAGACCATGCGCATGCTTGCTGATGATCTTTCGAGCTTGCAAGAAGCTAGTCGACAAAAGCTTGATTCAAGACACGTTTCTGTCATGGTTGTAAGTGTATGATACGTCCTCTTACTGAATCACAAGGATTCTTTTCAAGCAGGATATGCCAGATGTGGAAGGGGACAAAATCTATGGAATCCGCTCCTTCAGCGTCCGTGTTGGTCATCGGAAGGTCAGAATTTTCACTGCGAAAAGAATCCCTGGAAATTCTTGATCTTGTTCTCTTAATTGGTCAGTAGCTCAATCTTCGCCTTTGTTGGATGAGGTTTATGATCATGAAATCTAACTATTTTCAATCCTTGTCTGTCTTGCATTAGGTATTTTGGTTGTGTGTCTCTCTGATTCAGGCAGCGTATTTAGTGTCGATTGGAGTTGGACTGACAAATCCGTACCCATTGGGAAAAGCCTCGATGGTACGTCCCTATTCCTTCGTATTCTTATCTGACTAAGTTACATTCTCTTTTTGCTACTTTTACTTTCCATGGACAGAGGTTTCAAGGAATTCCCTCATGACAAGGATTTACAGTCTGGGCAGGAAGTATAGATACGTCTTCACCTCTTGAGACTGATCTGGAAACTTCATGTGCAGATTATTGGACATGCGTGTCTTGCGGCTATTCTTTGGAAGCGGGCTAAGTCTGTGGATCTTAAGAGCAAAGCAGCTATCACGTCCTTCTACATGTTCATATGGCAGGTCAGTTTGAGTACCAAACACTTTCTCTTGTTGTGAATGCCACTCCAGCAATGAAATTGATGCTTAGTTGAGTAGCTCCTTTTGTTTAACCAACGTGATAATGTCGATCTTCCCTGTCCTAACCGTATGTTGAAGGAAGCTTTAAAATATCGCCATAGATCCATTTGAATTTCATGGTAACTTTAACCGTATATGTCTGTCATCGTAAATATACAGTTTAGCGCTTTTTTCACCTATTCGCTGTCTATGAAACAGTATCTGAAGTTCTTGGGTACGTTTAGTGCTGCTTCGCAATCACCAGAGTTCTGACATTTATTAAACTATGTTGGCGTTCAGCTGTTTTATGCAGAGTATCTCATACTTCCGTTTGTGCGGTGAAGACGTTATACATCTAGCTGGCGTGCAGGCTAGATTTCGGTCAGGAAAGGTTCTACGACATCACCGTCTAATCCAACGACATCATTCTTGATCCCAAATTGGGTCATTGTACTATCTTTTAGCTCATGTTCATGATAATCACTGCCCTCCACTGCATACTATTACAAGAAGTGCACCTGACACATAATTCCTTGTTCTAGTTGCCTATCGGTTGGAGCATATGCTCATTTAGCTGGCCTGATAGAAGATTTGGTACCGAAGCTTTTCCTAGTAGGATTTTGAGATTTTTGAATTTGGCGATTCTTCAGTTTGTTACAAAATTCACGAAATGACATCCATTCGAGTGGCGACATGTCAGTGATTCAGCCCCATACTTCGACAGGAATATACCGGATTTGTTCATCTCAGTGGTATAGCCTTGAGTCGGGAATAAGGTAGTATGGAGGAGATGAGCAGCCACCGTTTGACGATCTTCCAGTTCCTGACACTGTAATATTCCATCATTTTCCACTTTCAGTCTACAGAGATGCAAAATAAAGGACACTAGCGTATCCTGCTCCATGGAATAATTTGTGCTCATTTTTCTTGTGTAACGCTTGCTCCGCTTCCTTGTCTTCACGTGATGCACAAAGCCTCGCGAACTAAAACAGTTCCCTTATCTCCCAGTTTCATGTTTGTGTAACTGTTCGTCGCATTGACCATCTGCTTTATCTTTGTGGATGATAAGCACGATTTACGGCACTTGAGGGTAGATGCACGAAGATGATGAAATCTGTGCTTTTAGAATAGCCGAAGTCCGATCTGGACTGGATATGATTCCTATTAAGTTCACTTGTTGCATTAAAAAACGCGTGTATCAACGTGTTACAACTCTTACATCTGACAAAAATTCTAAAAAACTCAATCATCACTTGATTGAAACACAAGTGGACTAAAAAGTACGAAGTAAATAACATTCGTTCTTGAAATGAGAAGAAAAGGTAAACATCTAGGAAAATTATCATTCGTAGTAGAATTCGTAGACAAGCAAAACAAAATTGAATAAAAGTAAGAGTAGTTAACTATGTACAAAGTCGAATACTTAATTTTTTGATATTGAATTGAAAATCAATCTTAACTTTAGGTTATAATGTTTGAATTATATCAACCCAATTCTACAACCAAGTAAACAAATTAGTCTTCCTCAAACTTAATATTAACTACTCTTTTCTATACTCAAAGCTTTCATGAACTTATAGAGGCAGATCAAGTACACTTCAAACTTCAAAAACTGAACTTTGAGCAGACCTAATTTGAAATCTCTTCCTTCGCTAAAAACTCCTAACAACGCTTTCGGCTTAAATGTCAAGTCCAGTGTACACATAGTAGTTTGCACTGTCGGCTCTAACTACTGTGTCGAAATCTATAACGTGAACCCTAAATAGGTCGTTACAATTGTTGTGAACATTCATATAGCATCACAACATACATTATTTTCACATCACACATAATGTTACACCCAAACTTACATATACCAACACAAGTATACCACAATTGCCACTTAAATTGGAATCTAGGTCCTCTAACACCAGATAGTCATCTAGTTCATAACATTATGACCATTTTTATGCAAGATTGACATTTATAGTGACATGCATTCTTAAGCAGTTGACACAAGAAATACATTGTTTGCTCCAGTCATGCTAAAGACACAAAGAGTGTTATATATTAAAACCCTAAATTGTGTACTTGACAATTATATCATGTTCTCTTGTATAGCGTCAAACTAAATGATTTTACTAACCATGGATTAAATTAGCTAAAGTTAATCAAGTACTGAGTTAGTTCATAATCATCTTTCTTTTGATTTATGTTTTGAGACTAGAATCTCTATAACCAATGTGATTATTATTCCAAACTAACAAAATTAAGTAACATAGATTTTTGTGTAATCCATGATACATGATACAATAACATCTTTTATATATGTATGTATGTATATATATACTTACTTACTTACTTTATAATGTAGCACATAAAACATATCTACAAGAATAATTTTGATATAACCATCAGTAGCTTAATCATTTTATTAGACATAGTCAATCTAAGAAAATAATATCTGATTTTGATTTGTTATACTTTATTGTGCATCCTCTAACTCACAGCTATATGTAAAACTTTTTTTTTTCATAGTAAAGACTCACAATTTCATAATTTAGATCTGTCACAATTACAAACTTGTGCAATCATATTGAGTCCTTCACTATCATTGATGTGGTTGTATATTCACAAAATCAGAATCCAACTTATATTTCATATCTTTTACAATATAAATCTCTTGAATTCTAACAATACTTTGTACATATTCTATACTTTTTGAGTAAAATTGCACTTTAGTCTATAAAAGCAACATTATAGTCCAATTAGTCTATCATTAGATCTAATTAAATCTCTAAATGATACATAATTTGAAGTTTCTAGAAAACTACTTGTTTTCCATAGACATGTCTTCAATCAGCCGAACAAAGTATCTTTTAAATAGGTTTTGTGCTATTTTTTTGCAAGAAAAATATATTTTTTGAAAATAAATTTGAGCTTATGTCTACTGTATTTGGATACGTGAAATGATGCAATACTACTAAAGTCTATCAAGCATCTCTAATATGCTCGACGAACATACTTTGACTTAGATAACATCAAATAATTAATCTCACTAGAAGAATAAAGACTTATGAAATTTAAAGTTTTTCCTTGGAGTTTATGAAATAAATTTCAAGTTAAATTAGATTGATAAATTAGATTGGCTCATTTTAGTGTGTTTTCATAAGGTTCAATTGAAACTCTCATCAAATTCACTCTATTGTGAAATATATATTGTAATGAGTTGGCAAGTCACTACACATCTTGAATTCTTTTGTTTAGATTTTTTAGGCTTGATATGATCGGCAATTTTTCACTTTCTTGCCAATCTAAATCTCAATTTGGATTGTTCATTTTTTGTGAAAAAAAATTATTATTTTGTAAATCATAAATCTATATATATTTCAAATAAAATCAATAAGATATACATAGTGTATTGTTTCTTAATAAAAAGATGTAAGAAGTGAATCTCACATGTCATTAATTATGTATTCAAAAATCTTATCGTGGTTAAAGCTAAGAATGTTTAGCATCAATTTTTGCACATCTATGTCATCAATCATTTTTTACTAAAAAAAGTTGATTTTTGGTTTTTTCATTTTGCTCAACTAGTCAATTATAGCCATGAAAATATTAATAATGAACAATATTAATCAATTTCATTCAACTAGTTCAATATATTATGATATATAAGTAATATTTTTAATGTCATGTATTGACAAGGAGTTCCTTAATGAAACAACTCGTTGCAAACCATCACTCACACTCTAATATCATTTTGTGTTCAAGATTAACATTCAACATAAGATATATCTTCAAAAAATTTAATCAAATAATGTTTAATTTTTTAGATTTTATTCAATGAATAAAATTTTTTTAATTTATCAATGTATATTCATTTATTGAAATCATGAAATGTATCATTAATAACATATTATAAAATACGTGTCATTGACTTTATTATATAAATTTAGATTATTTTTTATGGGTAGCCATAGTAAAATTGACCAGGGTTACCGAGAGTTGAATGTACATCTAACATACTTGGTGATATTAATGTCAAGAGTTCATGAGTTATATAAAAAGTCATCTATTTTATGAAATAGAATATAAAAAACTAGAGATTGGTAAACAAATTATTTTTTAAATTATTTTTTCATGTGATTTATAATTTTGTTGCAAGAATTTGACATGTAGTTTACACTCACATGCATAACAACATTGAAGACTTAATATTTACCTAAATGAGCTACAGAAACAACTCTAGCTCATTGAAAAATCATACAGTTTACTAAATTAGAGAGATTTTACTAGCTCTCTTACCTAGTGACAAGGTTATAAGGTTTGTTACCAAAAAACCAGAGCTCATTACTAATAATTTTTTCCTTAATTCATGTCATGGGTATCATAAACTCCAAAAATTATTTTAAATTTTGCATGACGCCTTATGAACTTAACATAAACAATTCTTAAATCTAGAGCTAACTAATACCAAGCCATAATTAGAACATGATCGAGTATAATAAATAAATAAATAGAAAAATAGCTAATAATTTCTTGTGCAAAATCTGCAAAGAAGCACAATGTTTACAAAAATTTCTGAAATGAACAACTTTGATCAACACATTAGCTCTATTAAATAATCTATCAATCTTGATCAGTTAAATCTTCTTTACAAAAGACAAGTTTTTGATAAAATAAAAGTTGATGTCAATAAGTTTCACTCTTTTGTTTGTCACTTGATTTGAAGTAAAATGTAACACATTTTGATTATCACAATAAAAATTAACAACCTCATATTATTTTATTACATTTGTAGTTTCAATTTTGGATTATAATACGCATTTCTGCAAAATATACATCCAATTATTGAATCCATAATTCAGCTTAAATATATATTCTATCATAGATTATTAGATACTTTGTCAAATTTCGTCTTTGATCAATATCAATGTAATCTAACAAAGATGTATAAGTCATCAAAACAAATTATACTTCATTGTAATCACCTTTAATTAGTTAAAACTAAAGTAGAGATTATATACATGGAGATATGGTTATATTATACTTGACCATCTATAGTCCTCATGTCATGAATATATGTGTTTGACAGGTAAAGAATAAATGTGTCAATTGACAACAACACGTACAACATTCACTAGGAATGGATTGAATGATGAAAAATGAGATTTTATCTTCTTATATTTGTTGATAAAATCTATATAAAAACAAAAGAAATTCTACATTTCACTCATTTTTAAATTGTGTTTCATTTTTAAGTGAGGTTTTCTTTTAATCTTAGTGTTATATAAAAACTTTTGAAATATTTGAGAGTTCATTTAGACAACTTTTCAATATATCTTTTTTTGATTTGAAATATATTTACTCACCTTGATCATAATTAAAAAAATATTTTATATCATACTGAAAACAATATTAAATCTTATACTCACAACTTTGTCATCTAAATTTAAGATTTTTTTTTTCAATAACATCAATTGAATATTGAGCTTCAAAACGTTTTAACTATGTTGAAAAATATCCACATTTCTTAAGTATTTCCATTTAATAATATTCAAGTCCATATTGAATTAACTTGTCTTGATTTGATCAAATTTTAATTTTTATCAATGTTATATGAAATTTCATAACTAAAATACTCTTGTACATATCCAAATTATAAATCAAGATCATTCAAAAATTTTGCTATATTTTTAAAATGATCATAGACTTCATTTACAAGAAGTATTTCAAGTTTTGAGAGAAAATGAATTGTGTATTAAAGTTTCAAAATGTGAATTTGGCAAGTCAAATAAGATATTTGTATTATAGATATACAGTTGCAAGAATCTAAGTAATGAGCTAAAAGATAGAATGCATTTAAATAGAACAACATCTAAAGATCAAACTCAATTGAAATTATATTTAGAGTTCATTC